CATTGCCCAGGACGTGATACTGCACCTTACTTTCTGCCTTTCAGAAAAAACCTATTGACTCGCAGTGTTGGAAGCCACAAGAACAGCCAACAACACATCAATCTGGACGCAAGATTGGCCTGGGCCACACATCGTCCTGTGCAAACTGAACTGAACTGAACTGAACTGAACTGACCTGAACGGCCTTGAAATCAGCCGGTGCCAACGCGGTCATTCAATGGCCTGTAAAGGGCGCGCTGGTCAAAATGGAAGGTACTGCGGAGAGTCTTGAACAATGTCTTGCTGTGATCAAGCGGTTTCTTCTGTGCCCTGTTTGGTAAGCTGCATCATCTAGTAATATGCGTACCATAGTTTGGATGATTTTCAAAACCCAGCGATTACTCCATGTGCGCATACCTTTTGCAAATTCTGTATATACGAGCACATAGGCAAGAAGCGTCAAGCTAGCTGTCCGCTATGTATGAAAACATTCACTCGAAGGTTGGTTCGATGCCTCCTACCAAGCTTTTTGTAGGTCTCTGAAGCATTCTGGGAAATTGAATGAAATCACCATCGCTTGCCGCGAGTTGTTAACAACGTACGAGGCTGAATCCGGCTCCATATGTACGCTGTTTTTTGCAAATAATTTTTTCTTCAGTGAGACCCAGTAGTGTCCCCGATGAGTTCTTGCATCTTAGTCAAGAGCTAACTCAGCACCCCACTATCTCAAACTTGGTTCGTGCTCAGTCTATTCACTCTGGGGTACGTCTTTACTTTTGCTAATAGTGACTTCTGGGCATTGTAGAGTAATTCCACGAGACCTAAGTCTCTCATGTGCGCCAATGCTGATGGAAAAATAACTGCTAGAACGTCAAAAATTCTGCTTGGGACTGCTGCTCGAGTTAGACGTAGCCAACAAAAGAAGGATGATGTTGATGACAGTTTGCTCCTGACACAACCCATGATACTGGATTCGGAAGGTACATCGACTATTTGTCAGGGTCGAGCAATTTCATCCTCAAACAGTGCAGAAGACCTAATGGAACTATTTGCCTCTACACAGCTCACTCAACCTATGATGGACAACAGCGAATTTACCCCCGTGATGGGAATGCGTGAGAGTACAGGCGTCAAAGAAAGCCATATCGAAAAAACAAACGCGTTAGAGCGGGCGCATGTGTCTAATTTGACTGCCGCTGGTAATTCCCGTCACAAGGGAATACGCACAGTTCCATCCCGTCCTCCTGTACCGCCCCGTGCTCAGTTGAATACTCGTAACACTAAGGAGTCGGTTGATTCACTTCAGGGTGGTACCTCGACAGCTAGCAAAAGAAGTTTCGAGCCCTCCAGTTTTGTTCGTCCGCGTAAGCAAACTAGGAGAGAGTCCAGTCACTCCACACTTTCTTCTGCACATGGAGTTTTGACCAAAACACACGAAGTATTTTGTCAGATAAATGTGACAGATAAGCAAGGTAGCGATACATTGTCCGCTGCAGAAGTTCATTCCCTTTGTGGAACGAGATTGAAGCGTCTCCCAAGTGGCACTTCTATAAGCTCTTGGCCTTTGAAACGATCTCGCTTGCAGATGACGTTGACAACTCGCAACAAACTTCTGAGGAAGTATAATCTCACACGCCAGTCTCTTAGCTTCAAGAAGTCCATGAAAGATCGCCCAGCTCTTAGTCCCGGTTGGTCACGGTGGCGAGCTATGTGCCACGGGTTAAAGCATAAGGGTTCTTCATTGAGCCTTAATTTTCGTGCCGATCGAAAGTCGAAAGTTCCAACGGTTATTACTCCAAATCATAGTTTTCTTCACACGACCACGAAACGTTCAATGACAAACATTTCCAAGTCGACCAATTCTGGTTCGTTCCTCCACAGAATTTCNTTTCTGATACAGTTTTACGCCGTAGCAAGCGGGATCGCAACAAGCGTGAAGTAACTAAGAGCCTTGTTCCAGAAACTCAAGATCTTCATGATGAGCTGAACAATCTTCCCAATACTTGCTTTATTAACGAGACCCCCATCTCTCCCGAGAGGGCGCTTATTAATTCGCGCAATCCACTGTCCAATCCAAAACAGCCGCCTTGTCAATTCATCGTTCCCCTCAAACGTCTGCTGCCAAAAGCGACCGAAAATCATTTCAGTATTCGGCGCGACTCCCACCATTGTTCCTTGACCAGTGCACTACAACTTCCACCACCTATGCCGGCTCGTGAAGTTAATTCACTGAATCCCCTCAAGTCGCCGAGTGATAAACCACCATCCTCATGCAACGAAAATGATACAATCTGTCATACGATCACTCCCAACTATCGAATGCTACACTGCAGTTCCTGCGGTGAAAGCCTTGTCGTGCATCCTAACGGTTTAAGTACACCATACGGTTCTCCTTCACGGACAGCTATCCGAACTGCGCCGTCAATAACTGCTGATGATTTATCATGCTCCATTTCGTCTACTTACTGGCAGGCAGAAGATCCCTGTGATTCTGCTTTTTCAGGACTACACACCGATCACCTCGTCAGCTTGAATAGAACAGCTGCTGCCTCCGTTAGTTTGTTCAGTGATGTTGGTTGCCAGACGTCATTGGATTTTCTCGGGATACCAGAGATTAAAAAGCCAGAAATGTCGACGACTTTGGAGGTAAGTGTTTATATGTGCGAATTTTTTGTTCTGTTTTCGCGGATTGGTACCTGCTAACCGAGATATCTAGCATTCTAGTGTGCGCATTTTCAAATGCATTTAGCGTCATTCTGAATGTCTGGATAGTAAAAGTAATACAGATATCAAAGTAAAAAATTCTATCAGTAAAACCATACCATTGTGTTCTCCAATCTGTTTCATTCTGTCCATTGTACTATCCTCGATGTTCGATCAGTTTCGCCTGCTCAACGGAGGTAACCAGTTTATATATATGTTTATATGTATACACACACATATATATATATCAATAGAAACTGGAGACGTACTCTGAGTTGTAGTGTTGATTCTAACCTTTCCATTCAAACCAAGACTCGTCAAAAGTAAATAAAATGAATGAGATAATGGGATTACCGTCTTTCCGTGCGCCTATGTACAAGAAAGGTGATAGATCCTCTTGTGAAAACCACAGAGGAATTAGTTCAATCAATATTGTCTCTAAACTTCTCGCTGGCATCATA